TCTGCCTGCAGCTTTGTTTTACTAGGTTTAGTTGTAACAGCAATAATTTTAGACAGAAAACAGTAACACAAGCAGCATTTGTAGAATGAGATATATTGACTCTAACACAATGACGTAGTGTAAAGCCATACAGGGCTGGTATGATAACAGAGGCCTTGAGCAGTGGAGACACAGGAGGTGGTGCAGACAAACACAGGCATGTGGTGATAGCGCAAGCGGCACAGGCTGGCCCTGGAGACCCCATGGTTATAAACTGCTCACCAGTGGTCAGTTAAAGAAATGCAGACCTGGAGCTGGACAAAACTGGTTTTAGGGGCAATGAAGAGAGTGAAGACATGGTACCTAGCATATGTATGTAAAAGTCACCATGTACAGTAAATTTGGGTGTAACGTGAAGATGCAGATCAATGAAGAATGACCAAGGTGTAAAAACATTTTTGCAAACACACAAAAGGACCCAAAACGGATCCTAGAGTGGAAACCATGAACATGACCATCATAGTACCTCTCTGCCCCTCACCAGAATGACACCACCAACCTTAGGATCCAGGGAGTAGGGGAAGCGTGAGCATAACACCAGGAAGAGGGGTAGAAACAATTAAACTTTCAGAAATGCGAACAATACATTCTTGGCTTTATATTATATACCCATATACAGATACACACTTGGAGCAAGGAAGGATGGGAGAACATATTTTTCTAAGGAAAGGTTTGCAAGAAAGAAAATCAGAAATACATTCACACCTACAACACTTCGGCTTGTCTCTCCTGGAGACCAAGGAGTCTGCTAGTACCAAAGGGCATGAAATGCATGATGAAATGGATGTTTATCATTCAGTAGGTGGACAGACATGTCCACTGTACCAAAAAGGTTTGGAAAACACATTGGACACATCCATTCATCATTCCCATGAGACAAAGTTTGCTGCAGTGGACAATCAAATTAATTAACTGCTGAATCTAATTTACCCAGTTTCTTGTTAATTCTCCTATGGCCTGATTATTAAGCCTGACAAATTCCAGCCCCAAAGCACTTTGCTTGAAAAAATAATAATTAGCAACAGGAAGAGAGGGAGTGAAAGTTGGGACTCCATAATAGACGTGGAAACCATGGCTTTATTTTCAGAAATAGAGCAAATGAAGCAGCTTCATAACTGCTTCACTGGTTTTGTTAAAGCATCGTATTTCAGAGGATGCAAAACTAGGGAATAAAAAGCACTTAGCAGAACAGAAGTCAATGGAGTGGTGCAGAAGAGCTGTTAATGTTTCATTTTTTTTTGCCAGAAACTAGACACACTGACCACTCATTAAAATATCTTTGCTGCTGGACTGAGTAGCCAGTTACCATGAGAGATTTAAAGGCCACACTCGTAGTGAAAAATGTCTGTCACAGTTCAGGGCTGTTCAATCCCGTCTAACGTGCCCCGCTGCCTTTGTGCTGGGCGACACTCCACAGAATTTCAGCCCAGAGTTAGCCCAATATTTACAGCATGTCACCCTCTTTCATTGGAGAAGCCATCTGCTGAGGCGACTCCAGGCTCTGCTCACAGCTCAAAGACCTGCAGTTTGTTTGGTTTAGCTTTACAGCCTCTGTGTACACATTTCACTCGGATCTAGGTCAGAAAATGGTGCTTGAGGAAGAAACCACAAGCAAGGGGCCAAAAGAACTTCAGAATGATTTGATGGTCACAGCCTGTAACGTGAAGGCTTGATTGCTGAGGTGCTTGCCGGTGGTGACTCTGGGCATGTTTCAAGAGCACGTACAATTTTCACGTGGCTCAAAGTGGCAAGTTTAATATATTTTGAGGGACTACCTTCCTCTGCACTCACCTGATAACCACTGCTCGCGGGATTGCTGCCCAGATTTTAAACCCAAACCCTCTATGACTGCCAGGAGAGGGTTTTCATTAGACAGTCCATGTCTCTAGACTTGCCTTGTGCTGAGCTTCTGCCAGAAACTGAAGCATTTAGCTTCAGTGGTGCTCATTGCAAGACTTTTTCATCAGCTAAACTTTGACTTTTGGAAGTCTCACCACAGCAGACACAGGCTGTATTTACTGTGCAGCTGCATTTATTGTGAAGCACTGACTTGCTGTGATACTGGGTTCAGCTTATTAGTCCTTTAATAAATCAGCCATCTGACTGTGGACAAGATTCTAGAGCTGTCAGGACAAGCCAAAAAACCCCATTAATTATAGAAGAGCTGAATTCTCCCTCCTTGGATTTTCACAGAAGAAAGATCAGAGGTCAGGCTTTGCCAGGCAGAAGTCACAGGGACTCTGTTGGGACTATTTGCACAGTATGGTGGAATACAGGACCAAGGTGTTTTAAGCTTTCATGTAAAGAAAGAAAAAAGACCATAAATCCACTGATTTTGAGATCACAAGAGTATCACTGAGATCATCTGTTCAGATCTTTTGCACAATACAGGTGAGACTGGTTTATCCACTTGTGCACTGTGGTCAACATGGAGACTCCTCTCACTTCTTCACTTTAGCCCTTTATATGCACCAAATTGAACTGTCAGTAAGCTCAGCAATGTGGGATCATCCTTTAAAGCGTGTTCTGGACATTGCACCTAAGTGAATGTTCTCAGCTGGGGTTAAGACAGCGTATTAGTAGTTACATCTGAATTACAGTGCTCCTCTCACAAGACCTGGGTGTTCACTGGATGAATCCATGAGATGGAGAATTTTCCTCTTGCAAACGATGTCAATGCTTAATTAGCTTAGCCTATAAAAAACCACCTTTACTTCCAGTTAAGAGTATTTCTAGAAGAACTTGACAAATGTCTGTGGGGAAAAATAAAAAGACTTCTTTCCCATTTCACCCTAGTTTGTCTACTTTACGATCCCACTTTATATCCCCACTCAAACCAACCAGTCAGAAAAAATGACAGCTCCTCACAGCTGATAACCAAACAGATTTGGGAAAAAGTAAAAAATATTCCAACTTGATACGCTAATCCAGAAGTCTCCAAAAGTCAGTACACCAGTCATTGCCTCATGACCACATTCATAAGGCATAAGGACTGCAGTCCATAGCTGAACTACACCACCACCCCACGACACACCCTGAACACGGTTCTTCAAGTAAATCTTCATGATGGAAAGACCAGTGCATCATGGATTGACTTAAATTAACTAGAATGTTGAAAAAAATATTCCAAGATTTCATTTTTATTGGAAATACCCGACTCACTGATTTTCAGCCTTGACTTCCATTTCCTGGACTCTGTCATCCATAAAAAAGAAACATTATGCTATACAGATATACAGCCCCTTTATGCTTGTATTTTTTACACACTTTGCCACCTCCCCTTTGATTTTAATTTCGTTAACACTTGTTGGAATAGTAGCAATAACAAAAGGCTGTCTGTAAAACTAAGGTAAAGGAATTTAATTGAGTTCTCCCTTGAAGTGACAGAAAACTCTAAAAACGCCACTTCTAACAGGTCTGTACAGTCACCGGGGGCCCAGACCCACCTCATTCGAAGCCAGTGGCAATGCTCTCCATTGACTTCACTGGTTCAGCTGAGGACTGATGTGGCTGCAAACCACAGCTCCAGGGCTCTGTGGCTCTATCCAGACTCAGCTCAAGGCACCCCACAGCGCAGGCACAATGGATTTTGCTTCACGTGGATCCAAGGAGCCACTGACCCGGGGGCCTCTGATGTCCAGCAGAAACAGTGGAACATGGCTGTTTTGCCACCCCTGCAAAAACTCACTCACAAAACACCCACTAACATCAGATGCCAGGGGGGTTTTAAGGCATAACACAGACTCCTCATGTAGAAAAACAAGATTTTTTTTTTATCATTTAAAGTGTTGTTATTTTTTTACAGCTTTGGGCTGCCTGGATGACTAACTCTTCACAACTAAACTAAAACTACATCATAACATTGTTGCAGCAGCTTCTGAAATCTTAAAAGGCAAAGTTGAAGGAAATGCTAAATCTAAAAGCCAAACCCCGGTCCCATAAGGAGATGGTGAGAGGTGACTAAAAAGCAAGTCAGTTGCAGATGAACGTTGATTTGAATTGGAGGTGAAAAAGCAGCAGCTTTTGAACAGAAGTGACAAAGGGGCTCTCTAGCATATATATGTAAAAGTATATATGTATATGCTATACCTTGTTCATGCTGACGTGCAGGGCTGGCCATGGTCCAACTACCTTCACACTCTCCGTTTCTATTTTCTTCAGATGAGAAGTTTCATCATAAAGAAGGGGAAGTCCTGAGCTCAGTTCTAAAAGATGCCCAAAAGAAAGAAAGAAAAGAACACAGTCTGAAGGGAGGCTACAGAAGAACCGCAGAGCAAGACACTCAGCTGCATGTGAAGAGACAGCGGTCAGCAAAGCATCTTCCCCATAAGACCATCTAAAATGTTTCATAATTATGCCTGTCGAATCATTTTTCCTTTTTCCTCCTAGCAAACAGTTTCTCCCCCTTCTCCTTCTCTCCCATCCCTACATTTCAGCAGGGTTTTTGCCAGCTTTGGGCTAGATACTTCTCTCCTTACACTCCCCCCTCTGCCTCCCCCAATATATTCTAAAACTCAGTTGACACCAGAGGGATTATTTATGCAGCCAAGGTGCCACTCTCAGAGCATGTGATGTGTAAAGAGATCAGAGTATAGCTTTTGGCTTCTCTCAGATATCTTTATTTATACGCCAGCCTCCTTAAGACTGTTGTCAGGAATTTGCTGTGCTTTGTCAACAGAGGTTTTGAGCAAACCACCGACACAGAAAGACAAGGAAAAATATTTTTTGAGACAGCCATGAAAGGTCTCTGCCAACATCTGGGGGGTGGTGTAGCATATATAGGTATATTTGCAAGTACTCTGAGAAAAATGAGCTTCATCGTGTGATGATTTAACAATCCCTGCGTTCTCCTGTATTTCTTTTTGCCATAGATTCTAGGTGGTAATAGCTGTTGGGAACAATCAAGTAATGTCTAGAGTCTGATATCAAGCCCACTGAAATCAATAAAAACTTTGCACTGACTGCAGTTTTGTGTGGATCAGATTCTCAAGCTGTCCTAAGAATATTAAACATTACTCACTCAAGATCTAATTCTACAGCTGTTTAAATATACATTAAGGGCTTTGCTGACTAGAGACAAACTGCTAAAACCAGCTTATAGGGATATAAGCAAAAAGCTGGTTTTGGCATTAGTGAAGCATTATCAGACCCTGAGTTAATAATGTCCTAGAAGGGGTTACAATATCAGCATTGACCTCCCCTTGGTGGTCTCTCATCACAAGTTAGTGATGCCAGAGTTCAGCATTTCTCACATCACGGCTGCTTCCACGGATGTGAGACTGTGAAACTGCCCGATGATACCTGGGAATAAATTACCACAGCCGTAAGATAAGATGATGGTTTTGATGTTGGGTTTTTTTTTTTTCCTGAAGAAAAATAGTAATTCTATTTTCCTGTTGAGAAAGAACATAGAGGGAAAAAAGTGCCTTATTTAGATTATTCAAGTTTGCTATGATTTAAAACTGACTTTTAAGCTGAAGTCCTTGAAAAGGCATACATTTCCTAAGACAGCATTAATTCTTGGCAAAACCAGGCTTTCATTTCAAGAAACGATCTGGCAGCACTGTGGTTTCCCAATGCACTTTTATTCAGCCTGAAACTCCGTCTGTATTATACCATTCTCTGCTCAGGGTTACACAAGGTCTTTTGTAGTGAGCAGCTCAAGAATGAAAGATGTCTTTTTGTAAGTGATAACCTGCAAGCTCAGCCCAGAGTCCAAGGGGCAGGCTGGGCCCCCTTCATCACTTTCCGTCACAAAAATTCTGTGAGCTACATTGCATACTTGTGGGCATCTGCTTTTGGTGATAGCCCTGGCTGCTGCCAGTGGATCTGCTCAGGTGTGCCTGGTAACCCACACATGATGCTGCCATGCCACTTAGGCTTAGCAAGAGGCTTCCCCTCTCTGTGCGGTGGCACTGGCGCTGTAAGGCTAACTGCTCTCGAATACAGCGGTCCCGGGGACTGGGATTCTGCGAATACACTGGGGGAAGATCTGCTGCATAAAAAGATACGATCTGTGTATGCTGGCTTTGAGGTGAAGGGCAGCATTGCAAATAGAATAATCAGGCTGAATGCAGGAAAAACAACATCTTCTGCTGAACTGCCTCTGTAAACACACACGTCAGATTTGTTTCACCAGAGTTCCCTTATTCCAGTAATTGAAGCAGACAAATTACTCGGAATGCGAAAAATCAGGCAGGTCTGGCCCAGGTTTGTTTTCTGTAACAAAACCCCAGGCTGTGTGTTTGCTGCGAAACATGCACCAGTATTTACAGGGAACCTTGGCTGGGCACACTGTCTTTTCACTCTCTTGCCCATGTCCTGCAGATTGTGCCGGAATTTTGGAATTTATTGAAATAGGTGTAAGTAGAAGAAAGGCAGACGCTTTCTCCCCCTCTTGACCCAACGCTGGGTATGTATAGGTGGGTCACTCCGCATTCTGCTTCACATGAATTTAAAACCATCTCAGAGCTCAGAGATGACTCCAGTCCATAAAAACTGGAATAAGCCACAGAATGCCCATGGTCCCTTGGAAAACCACACGTTAGCCGAACTGAAGCACTGGTGTGCACAGCCTCGCCCGTCAGCCGCGTGAGGAAGCTTCCAGCAGGACAGCGTGTTCTCCCCATGAGACCTTCCAGCTCTCCAAGCATTTCCACTTGCGATATTTTGGTGACAAGCACCCTCTTCCCTGAGAGCGTGCCCAGGTTAGTGACCACTTACTTCCTGGAAAGACATTCCCAGCAGGGGCCTTTCCACACGTACTGGAGCCAGACATCTGTCCCCTGTGTCCCCAGGTTCCTGACGCAGACCCCTGACAGCGTCTCCTCTCTGCCTGAGTGTTCTTGTCCCACACGCTCTGCCACGCGTGCCGTCCCAGATAATCGACTGACAGCCAGCTCGCTCCCAACTGTTTCGACACGTACACTACGAGTCTTTTCCACAGGCTCTCTACAAGACGGTTTTCTCAGCTGAAATGGCCTGAGTAGCATTTTAACGAACCTGTTCAACACAAACCAAACCAAACCAAGCCCACTGAGCACCAACTGTGAAAAGGCACCCAGACCTGTCACCCCAAGCTGCAAACGAGTACCTTTGACTCCGTTCCAAGGGGAACGGTCCCATCCATGCCACCGCTGATCTAACAGCGCAGACAGGCCAGGTCTCACAGCGCGCTGGCCTCTCAAGGGCAGCCAGCTCCGCGCCTCGGCCGGGGGCGGGCGTGCTTTTTGCCCCGACAGCTCAGCTGGACGCAGCCGGCGTGCCGCGCCACAGCCTCCCCTCCCACAGCCCCTCTCCCTTTCTGCCCCCTTAGCGAGAGCGGGAAGGGACGTCGGGCCGCGTCAGGAACCAGCACCGGCTCCCTTTGCTCTAACCAAGCAGCTGGGTCCCGCATCTCTCCTCGCGGGTAACTGCGCTCACGGGGCACAAGCAGGACTGCTCCTGACGTCTGCCCTTACGCTTTTCTGAGCTTTTTCTAAGCTTATTTCACCAACAGCGGAGAGTAGGAAAGCAGCACAGCATGAGAACTGCTGAATAAGCACCCCATGCTGTACTTCTTGATGCTTTAATCACCTTCTGCTCTACGGGTGGCCCCGGCTCGGTGGGGGCCATGGCAGGGCTGTGGGGAGCTGGAGACCGGCCCTGCTGTGGCATCGCTGGGGCAGAAGCTGAGGCCCCGAGGGCAGGGGGGGGAAGCCCCCAGGAGGGGGACAGGGCAGCAGAGCCTGCAGTGCCCTTGGGGCTGGGGCACTCGGAGGCAGCATAGCTGGCTCTGACTGGATTTCCTGGCATGCTTCAACTCTTATTTGGGAAAGAAAAATACTAGCTGGCACACTCCCCAGGAAGGTCACCGCCTGCTGCCGCACCGGGCTGACACCCCGGGGT